GAGTGACAAAGGTGACCGTGCGGAAGTGCATGCTTGTAAATCTTGTTCATGATTTTGAACATGCATTCTTTTTTCTGTCTCCCCCCACCTTCAAGCTTAGCATTCAGGAGGTCTTAGCACCACCACCCCGCTCTGTACAGGGGTGTTGTTTGGGCAAGGGGGCTGCCTCACGCCCACCCAGACTACACAGAACCATCCATAGCTCTGGTCAGTTCACTGGTTCAGCATGTTCACAGTTAAATAGTTGTGCATACAAATGGCAAAAATTCTTTTTCCTTTTTATCGCCTATAAAAAAGAGATTGTGTACATCTGTTTCACCTGTGCTGACCATATCACAGTATTAGATACAAAGTCTTAAACTATGCTTGTTTTTGGCAGTTTCGTCTTTAGTGTTTTGAGCATCACTATAAACCGTGCTTCCACAATGCCCCTCACTTAGTCAGTCTTTCTGTGCTCCCCACTCCTTTGCTGAAGGAACCACAGAGGCTGTGGAAGACTTTTGAAGCCCTGCGGGTGCTGCTATGCTACAGGCCTCTGAACAGATGCATCATTCTCTTACGAGGCACATTTTTTTTGTCCCTGGCTGTGAAACACATCGCAATCATGCAGCGAGAGCCATGGGTGTGGATACATGCACCCAGATAGGTATTCAAAGGAGCATATGCAAAGCAGGGGAGGAGCCTGCTTTTGTGACCTCACTCTGCCCCCCCTGTTCATTCTACCCCCCCCCCAACTCTGAAGAGAGCTACAGTCTCCACTTTGTTGCAGCTATAGTGTGGTAAACACAATGCAAAGTTTGCAGGGAAAGAGACTGGAGCTTGAGCCCCAGTCAAGCAAAGCAATGCTCTGGCGTCTCCCAGCAACGCAGCCTGATCTGCATTGCTGGGTTACATCAGCACTGAGCAATTATTCCTGCAGCAATGACAGTCTCCTACCATTTGGCCTACCATAATTGTACCCCACAAGCTCATTTATGCAGCATGGGTGGCGGCAGCATAACCCACAGATTTTCTGAAGCGGAAGAGGACAGTGTGGCTGCACCAGGCAGTCGAATGGGTAAATGTCAAGTTTCCAACCCTCAACGCTAAGGACTTGAAAATGCGTAAGCCAGGGGTCCCCACCCTTTTTGAGCCTATGTGGTCACCTTTGGAACTCTGACACATTGTGGTGGGCACAACCACAAAATGGCGCTGCAGGAGGCAGAGACAGCCACAAAATGGCTGCTACAGATTACCTTCAGCCACATAGTGGCAGGAGCTGCTGCCAAAGCAACATATTTAAAAATCTGCACAGCCAATCAAATTTCCAATGCTCAGTCAGAAGAGTTGCTGGGCAAAGGCCCCGCCCACTTCCTAAAACTCTTGGTGGCCACCAGGAAAGGTGTCAGTGGGCACCAGGGCGCCCACAGACACCACGTTGGGGACCCCTGGCATAACCTGTGGCTCACAAAATCTTGGCAGAACAAATTTAGAATCCAGTGGGGCACCTTTAAGACCAACAAAAGTTTATTCAAGGCATGAGCTTTCGTGTGCAAGGCACACTTTTTCAAATACATCGGAATGGTAGATGAGCTTCTAAACTTACAGACAGGCATTTAACAGCAAATTAACATGTAACGTGATCCTGGCAGATCGAGTAGGAATTCACTGCCTAACATAGCTCCTTGCTCTTCCCTGTGATTAGCCAAAACAAAAAAAAGGCTGCAAAATAAGGCAACATGCTGTAAATGTGTATGATGTAGACCACAGAATCCAGCATGTTTCAGAGTAGGATTTTTATTGAAAGTCTAAGCACCTGCTGTCCTTTCTCATTCCTGGTCTGTAGGATTCTTATAGGTATCGCATTGGTCACTGTGAACAGGATGCTGGACTATGTGGCTGTCAGTCCGACACAGCAGGTATCTTCTTAAGTGCACGTAAGCAGAGCTTGTTTTGTAGAAAAAGCCAGGAACTCATTAGCATTATAGGACACACCCAACAATAGAAACATATTAGCATATTAGGCCACACCCCTGACAGAGCAGCTCATTAGCATATTAGGCCACAGTCCCCATGTTGCCAGAAGTGTGGTCATCCAGCCACACCCACCTTTTGCTTCTTATTCTGTTTACCTTGTTTGTTGTCAAAACCCAGGGCTTTTTTTGTAGCAGGAACTCCTTTGCATGTTAGGCCACACACCCCTAATGTAGCCAATCCTAATGAGTTTCTGCCATTGGGTGTGGCCTATTATGCTAACGAGTTCCTGCCGGGTGTGGCCAACTCGGGAGCCAGCCGGAACTTCGTTCCTGTGCGTTCCTGCCCAAAAATAGCCCTGCACGTAAGGCAAAATAAACGTTGCAGTGGATGTGTGCATTGATGCAGGGATACATTACAGGAGGCATTCAACGAAGAGGAGTTCCTGGCTGATCCAGAATCAGCTACGGATTGCAGCAGCAGAGCCTGTGACGCAGCAGCTAAAGCCAACCTATGCATTCCAGCCTTCCATTATGACCGCAGAGAGTATTCTTGAGGGCGAGTCGTAGAGGAAATGATCAGAACGGCTCCTGTCGGTCTGCCTTCCCTTGAGAGGGACTGCTGCCATATGGACAGGAGCTCCCATCCGGGCCAATCAAGATGTAGCTCTGTCTCTGACATTTTCACCCTGCCCTTCCTTCAAAGAGCTGACAGCAGCATATATGGCACTCTGTTTCATTTTATCCACACAGCAACCTTGCAGAGGAGGCGAGGTGAAGAAAATGTGGCTGGCCCAAGCGGGGATTTCCACCCAGGACTCCCATGTCCTACACTCTGGCCACTAGGCACCACTTACTCTGTATATCATTTTTTTTATCGCTAACACTCTTGCACTGCAACCAAGGTTTTGAACAACTCTGCTCAAGTCATATTCATCAGTGTGTTTTCCCACTACTGACCATTTACGGATGAACTAGAATTCTCACTCGCAAGTGGTATTTCCTCTGGGGGAAGACTTTTTAATCCAGGGCTGTATTTGGAGCTCCAGCCTCTGGGGCCTGACATCCCCCTCCCCACATTTGGTCCAGATGGGGTTTCCAATGGCAGGGTTTTTTTTTGGGGGGGGGGACCTGGAGATTTGGGGATATTGCCTGGGAAGAGAGCTCAGTGGGCATGTGATGCCGTGGTCTCTGTCCTCGGAAGTTGCCATTGTCTCCATGGGAATGGATTTCCGTAGTCTGGAGGACTCCAGGCCCCACCTGGAGATTGGTAACCCTAGATCCAGACAATGCACATTCAGTAAGGGGGAAGAAGCTAAAATGCTAGGCTGACAGTACCATGATGATACCATAAATGTTATAGTGACATGATAGAGGTTTTATTTACAAGATTATGTATGGGATAGAGCAGGTAGAGAAAGAAGTACTTTTCTCTCTTTCTCACAATACAAGAACTCGTGGGCACTCCATGAAATTGCTGAGCGGTCAGGTTAGAACTTCTTCACCCAAAGAGTGATTAACACATGGAATTCACTGCTACAGGAGGTGGTGGCAGCTACAAGCATGGACAGCTTCAAGAGGGAGTTGGATAAGCATATGGAGCAGAGATCCATCAGTGGCTATTGGCCATAAGCAGTGTTCCCTCTAAGCTGAGTTAGTGTGAGCTAGTTCACAGTTTTTTAGCCTCCAGCTCACAGACTTTTGTCTCCGCTCAGGAAGGATGGCTCCAGAGCAAACTGATTTATGCAGTAGCCAAATTGCTCGCTCACAACTTTAATGCCAGTAGCTCATAAAGTAGAACTTTTTGCTCACAAGACTCCACAGTTTAGAGGGAACATTGGCCATAAGGTATAGATAGGAACTCTCAGTCTGGGGCAAGTGATGCACTGTGTTCTTGGTGCTTGGGGGGCAACAGTGGGAGGGCTTCTAGTGTCCTGGCCCCAGTACTGGACCTCCTGATGGGACCTGGTATTTTTGGACACTGTGTGACAGAGTGTTGGACTGGATAGGCCAATGGTCTGATCCAACACTGATTTCTCTTTATGCTTTTCTTGTAAAGCTGTATTTTTAGCTGTTTTACTATGTTGTAACCCGCCCTGAACCCAGCTGTGCAGGGAAGGGGGGAATAGAATTCTGAAGTACAAACAAATAAATAAATTTGACATCAGCACTTGGCTTTGGAAGCTGTGAACTCTGAGAATCACTGCAGTAGCCATGGGAATCAGAAAACAAGTGCGACTAGCCTTTCAGACAGGGGGAAACGGTGGGGAAATGAGAGGAACAGAGCAATTGCAAGCTGATACCAAGGCAATGAATGAGGCAGGAAATGAGGGGAAGATTTTCAATGGTTATGCGGGGACTAATTGGCTGAGCTTAGCTCCAGGAGAAGAAAGCAAGCTGTAAAGGGGGACAGGGTTAACTTTTCAGGCTGCACTTTGAGAAACTGTGATGGACATACAGAAGAAGCAGAAAGGAATGAAAGGTGGTTACTGCCTCAGCTGGTGTGTGCATAGGCGCTCCTGCTCTGCCAGCCTCACTGGTTTAGGGAGACAGTGAAGCATAGAAACACAGAGATGAAAAGGACCCCAAAGGGTCATCTAGTCCAACCTTCTGTGCAGTGCAGGAAATTCACAGCTATCCACACACACCCCGATTCCCCAGTGACCCCTGCTCTATGTCCACAGCATCTCCTTTGCTCATTCATCCCCTTCCTTCCAGGCACCGGAACCAGGCCAGGACCCTGCAGACTTTGCGGGAAAGGGACAGGGGAGATCACTACTCTTTAACAGCAGGCGAGGGCAGGCAGCAGTGGGCTTCATTCCTGCCATCCTTCCCCAAGTACCAAGGTCTCCAAGTGCCCCAGAGACAGAAAACCTGCCCGTTTAGCTCTGTACCTACAACTCTACTGGACATTCCATCAACCAGTCCCCTCCAAGAGAAGATCCTCAGGGGTGGGGTAGGTGGGGTGGGGGGACTGGAACAGCAAACTGTACTCTGGATCAACCCAAGTGCAATTAGTGCATGAAAGAGACAACCAAAGCAACAGGGTTTGTGTACAGATACCTTTAATTTTCCTGAGATATGGATGGACAAACAGTGCCGTGAGCGGACGGATGCAAAGGGGCGAGGGATGGTCATGCATGCCCGCAAGGCTTCCTCTATCCCACACGCCACCAGTGGCCGATTCAGAGCTGTTCTACACAGCAAGGCAGTAGGCAGAGGAGGCAGTTCCCAGTCAGACCAGAGAGGGGGGTGTATCTATTTCTGAATGTTCCCCTGCCTTAAAAAACCTTCACTGTATGTAGCACTTCCTGCTAGTTCACCATGTTTTAAGAAGGGGGAGATAATTCAAAAATACAACACCCCCACTGGCAGCTTTGAGTAGTACGATCTAAAATTTCCCCACTGCCACTGACCACCTCGTTCCACAAGATGCGTAGATCGGCTCTGAGCCCAAGGGACAGCCCCTCAAAGAGCCAGCAGGGAGCAATTCCAAGCCCACCCAGCTCAAGTTTTCTTTCGAAGCGATCCACCCTCAGCCAACAGTAGTTGACCAACATGTGAAGATTCAAAGCTCATGGGTAGGAACGCGTTTGTGATCATCCCTCTCATACAAAGACGGGGCAATCAAAGAGAGCATTCTCGTGGCCCACTAACAGAGACCTGGGTAAGGCCTCACGCAGCTTTAGGGGATGCTCATTCCATGCTAATTCCTGTCAGGAATTCTCCTCTCTTCATGTACAACTGGGAGGCCATTCCTGCCTTCGCACACCATGCAGGCCTGTGGCTTCCCCTCTGCCCAGATTGGGATACAAGATGGGCCTTTCCATCTCTTTCTTCTGGATCTGCCGGGGTACAGGCAGGTCCAGAGTTCCTGCCCACCACCTGGCTCTCTGAGGAAGGAAGCAAAAGAAGAGGAACGTTCATTTTGTTTGCAACACACTATCTGCCTTTGATGAAGCCATCGAGCACACGATCGCTCCGCTCCGACAGCCAGTAGCCGGCCATGGCAGCCACGGCGCCAATAAAGATGGCAGTAAAGACCATGTCTCCTTTGGCCGCTAGCGTGGCAAGGGCACAGATGATGGCGCCAAAGAACATCTGCTGCAGCACGACCACCTCGTCGTCTGTGATGTCGTCAAAGAAGCCCTTCTCAGGAGCATCTGTGGGACAAGGAATAGGCTGTGAACAGGGGCAGAGTTAGTTTGCAGGCAGCCACTAGCTCGTAACACAATTCTGTCTAGCCCTAAATGTTAAGAAATGGCTGCTTAACAACTTTTCCCACGGCTTTACTCATAAGAATGTTTTCACATAATGTGTGTGGGGTCCACCCTTTAATGTTACATCTCGTTATCATTTTGAATGCAACGTGCCCTGTGTATGATTTGAGTCCAGGAGTACCTTAAAGACCAACCAATATTTCTGGGGTATAAGCTTTTGAGAGTCAGAACACAAACTTTGATTCTCGGAAACATACGCCCCGGAAATCTTGTTGGTTTTTAAGCTGCTCCTGGACTCAGATATTGCTCTTCTGCTGCAGACAAACCCAGCAACTCACATGAAACTATGCACTGAGTATGTAAAAGTAAATACTTGTAGGTAACGCTACAGCTGAATGCTCCATAACCAGAAAGCTCTCTCTTGCTAGATGGTGCTACTGTGGAGGTCGAGAGGTGGAGGCCTGGGTCTAAGTGCCCTGTTTGTAGGCATCTAGTTGGCCATAGAATGTCATAGGTGGCTGTAGCTGATGGACCACTGGTCTCAGCCTATGTTTCTCTCTATGCAAGTTTTCCCAACCAGAGAATGTGTGCTGCTGGGGACGATGCCAGCATGGCTTACCTGGGGGCTTGTCCTCCACACAGAGTCCCTCTTTGCGCACATGTCCCTCTGCGCAAACACACCGGTAGCTGCCCTCTATGTTCTCACAGACCTCGTTGGCACCAGTGCAGACGGGTTCCTCGGTTTCGCCAGCACACTCGTCCACATCTGGGAGAGAGGACATGCGAGGGAGTCCAAGTCACGCTGCATCGTTGGGAGCCATAAAGATGGCAGAAGCCCAAGTAACATTTCTAGGCCCAACCCCAGTGAAGGGAGATCTACTGCCTCCAAATCCCTGCCACAGAACTGAGATTTGCTAGGTTAACTCCTGAACTTCCCATGGAAGGCAGACTCTCACCCACCATTTTCAAAAAACCCTTCTCTATGTTACTTTCTTTCAGGGCATTCTTTTTGTTCTTTGCTGAAAAGCAAAAAAAGACATTGATACTGTTGTACAGGGGCTCTACCCAAACCAAAAATATACCAAAAAAACCCTTATCAGTATTTTCTCAGGTACTTTTCAGCATCCCGAAGGTATCCAGGATTTTTCGGGAGAACTGGGGAAAAAAATCCCCCCCCCAATATATTTGGGGATTACTGGCAAACCCGGAACAACAGCTGAGCGACTGAAGCAGATTGCTCCTGCAGCTCAGCTGTTTTTGGGTTTTTTTCTACAGTCCCTTTAAACAAGGGGTGTTTAAAGGGACTGCAGAAGACAGCCTGCAAAACAACCGAGGGGGGGGCACTCTCCCTACAGGATCAGCTGCTTTGTGAGCTCTTTTGGGCAGTCTGGTTTAAAGGGATTGTCCAAAAGAACCCCAGCTGATCTGCCTCTCAGCTGGTTTTTGCAGCTCTGATGCTGCTTTTTTCTTTCTCTGTATTTTTGTGTGGGTCTATTGGACCTGAAAAAAATGGGGATTTCTGAAAAATCCTGGATTCAAATATTTTATTGGTATTGGGATCTGGGTTTTTTGGGGAATCCCAAAATTTGGGGGGGTTCAATGGATCTGAACCAAAAAATACTGAAAGAAAACAAACTGCACACCCCTACTGTTGTACTGAACACCTCTTTACCCCTAAGCCTGATCTGGCTTGTCTTGGTCTGCAGCTCTTGAACAATGTGCTTTGGCAAGAAAAGCACAGTATGTACAGAGACCGAGTCCCTCCGCAAAGTATACAGAGCAGAGCCTGCTCTTCTGGTTCCATCCTGTTGGGAGGGGAGAGATGTAACTGAAAGGCAACTGGTGGAAGGGCTCACCTAGGCACTTGACTCCATCACGCCGATAGCCCTTGTTGCACTTCTTGCAGCGGGAAGGCCCAGCACCCATGCAACCGATGCATGCCTTGGCACAGTCTGGAAAGAAAAGCAGTGGAAGGGTTAAGGAGCCAGCATGGATCAGGAAAGGCCATGGTTTGGTGGGTGGGCCTGTGAGACCCGCCTGGAAAAATCAAAGCTCTCCACTAGAACAAGAATCCTTTGCCGTTGCTGACCCTCCTCCTCCTCTCCTCTAGCTCCAGCAAACTGCTCAGTGGTAGAGCATCTGCTTTGCATACACACACACACACCCCGCAGGTTAGGAAAGGCACAAATAGGTATAGAAAAAAGCCTGCATGGTTCACCAACAAAATAATGGAAGCTGTAAAAGGTAAGAAGGATTCCTTTAAGCGGTGGAAAGCTAGTCTCAGTGAGGTTGATAAAAAGGAACACAGGCTGTGGCAAATAAAATGCAAGTCTGCGATCAGGCAGGCAAAAAGGGAATATGAGGAGCATATCACAAAAAACATAAAGACCAACAATAAATTTTTCTTCAAATACATTAGAAGCAGGAAACCAGCCAGGGAGGCAGTGGGGCCCTTGGATGACCAAGGGGTAAAAGGAGTACTGAAGGATGACAGGGAAATGGCTGAGAAGCTGAATGCATTTTTTGCCTCTGTCTTCACTGTGGAAGATGAGAAGTGCTTGCCCACTCCAGAACTGCTGTTTTCGGGAGGGCTGTTGAAAGACCTGAGTCAGATTGAGGTGACGAGAGAGGAGGTCCTAAAACTGATAGACAACTTAAAAACTGGTAAATTACCAGGCCCGGATGGCATACATCCGAGAGTTCTGAAAGAACTCAAATGTGAACTTGTGGATCTCCTGACAAAAATATGTAATCTTTCATTAAAATCTGCCTCCATTCCTGAGGACTGGAAGGTAGCTAATGTCACTCCCATCTTTAAAAAGGGTTCCTGCGGAGATCTGGGAAATACAGGCCAGTCAATTTGACGTCGATACTGGGTAAGTTGGTGGAAACTGTTATTAAGGAAAGAATTAGTAGGCACATTGATGAACAAAAACTATTGAGGCAGACTCAGCATGGTTTCTGTAAGGGAAGATCTTGTCTCACTAACCTGTTAGTGTTCTTTGAAGGAGTGAACAAACATGTGGACAAGGGGGACCCAATAGATGTTGTTTACCTTGACTTCCAGAAAGCTTTTGATAAAGTTCCTCATCAAAGGCTCCTAAGTAAGCTCAATAGTCATGGGATAAAAGGACAAGTCCTCTTGTGGATCAAAAACTGGCTAATTAATAGGAAACAGAGAGTGCGTATAAATGGGCAATTTTCGCAGTAGAGGGTGGTAAGCAGTGTGGAACTGCAGGGATCAGTACTCAGTCCGATGCTTTTTAACTTGTTCATTAATGATTTGGAGTTGGGAGTAAGCAGTGAAGTGGCTAAATTGGCAGATGACACGAAGTTGTCCAGAATGGTAAGAACCAGGGAGGATTGTGAGGCACTCCAAAGAGATCTGTCGAGGATGGGCGCGTGGCGTCAATGTGGCAAATCGGGTTCAGTGTAGCCAAGTACAAAGCGATGCACATTGGAGCCAAAAATCCTAACTATAAATACACATTGATGGGGTCTGAACTGGCAGAGACTAACCAAGAGAGAGATCTTGAAGTCATAGTAGATAACTCACTGAAAATGTTGAGACAGTGTGCAACTGCAATAAAAAAGGCCAATACTGTGCCGGGGTTTATTAGGAGGGGAATTGAAAACAAATCAGCCAGTATCATAATGCCCCTGTATAAGTCAATGGTTCGACCTCATTTGGAACACTGTGTACAATTCTGGTCACCACATCTCAAAAAGGATATTATAGCATTGGAAAAAGTGCAGAAAAGGACAACTGGAATGATAAAAGGGTTGGAACACTTTCCCTGTGAAAAAAGGTTAAAGCACTTGGAGAAACGATGGCTGAGGGGTGACATGATCGAGGTTTATAAGATTATGCATGGGATAGAGCAGGTTGAGAAAAAAGTATTTTTCTCCCTTCCTCACAATACAAGAACTCATGGGCACTCAATGAAATTGCTAAGCAGTCAGGTTAGAACAGATAAAAGGAAGTACTTCTTCACCCAAAGAGTGATTAACACATGGAATTCACTGCCATAGGAAGTGGTGGCGGCTACAAGCATGGACGGCTTCAAGAGGGAATTCGATAAACATATGGAACGGAGATCCATCAGTGGCTACTAGCCACAAGGTAATAGATAGGAACTATGGGGCAAGTAATGCTCTGTATTTTTGGTGCTTGGGGGGTGGTCAATAGTGGGAGGGCTTCTAATGTCCTGGCCCCACTGCTGGACCTCCTGATGGCACCTGGTATTTTTGGCCACTGTGTGACAGCGTGTTGGACTGGATGGGCCATTGGCCTGATCCAACATTGGCTTCTCTTGTGTTCTTATAACCCCTGGCCTCTCCAGCTAAAAGGTTCAGGTAGCAGATGAAGTAAAAACCATCTGCTCGAGACCCTGGAGAGTTGCTGTCAATCAGAGTAAACGATACTGACCTTGAAAAATCACTATAAAGGCAACTTCATGTGTGGTCCACAAAACGTGTTCTGGGCTTGGACCCGGAGAAAAAACCAAGGGCACAGAACATCTGTACTAGGTCCCATTTTGCAACACTGTGCCATTTTTGTTTGAGGCCAGCAACAATTTTGAAAGGATGAAACACCGAGCCAGCAAAACATGCCAGGCTAACCCTTTTGTCTGACCAACATAAGACAGCCACGCCTGTTCCTGCGTTATATTCTCCCACTATACAGTATCCTGCAACAAAATCCAAATATGTGCGACACATCACTTATGCTGCCCACTCCTTATTTGATAAGACCACTTTAAAACGAAGAGTCTTCATACAATAGACCCCCCCCCAAGTTAGACAATGACAGGAATTCTGTGCTAATGTCAAGCAGTATTAGTGATACGCTGTGGCAATGATAATATCATACTGCTGTTTGAGTCTTTG